CCACCTACTTATAAAATAACTGATTATAATAATGAAGAAATACAAGGTACTTTTTATGAACAAGAACTACAAAAAACAAATCAAGAGATATTTAAAATTGAAAAGGTTATTCGTCAACAAGGTAACAAATCATTTGTAAAGTGGTATGGGTATCCTGATACTTTTAACTCATGGGTTGATAATACAGAATCGAAAGCGATCTAAATAATTATCTTACATTTATAAAAAATGAACAAATTAAATGTAAATGTCAATATATGCGTATCAGCTACTTCTGGTAATGCTAATACAAATACTACTGTAACGACGACGACTTCAAATTATAGTTCTAACAAATGATACAAGAGAAAAATTGTACATTTTACAATAAAATTAAGATTAAAAGAAAACAGGTTAAGAGAATTATTAAATGAAAGAGATCGTTTAGAAATTAAACTTATACCATTAGATGAATATGAAGATAATGAAGATAAAAGAAGAAAATTAAAAAATAAATTAGAAAAAGTAAGATTATAAATATCAGACATGATAAGTAGATTAAAAGAATTAGAGTTAGAATTAAGATTAGAAAATTTAACATTTGATATAACAGTAGGAGATAAAATATTAGAAGAAGAAATGATAAAATGTGAAATGAAAGATAAATTTAACTTAATGTCATATCTAATGTTTAATAAAAAAGTATTAGAACTAGAAAAAAATTATAAAGAATTAAAAAAAATAACATGTCAAGAAACTGATAAAAAAAGAATAGAGCAATTAAAATTTGAAGATGAATTTTTAGAAGAATTAAAAGAAAGATTTAATTTATTATCAGGAATAGAATTTAATAATGAAAGAATAAATGAATTAATGTTTAAAACTTGTTTTCCTTATGCATACAAATTTAGAAAGGTAGAATTAAAAAGTTCAGAAAAAAAATTATTAATAAAAATAAAAAGTTGTTTAAATAAAAAAAATTTTTATGAATCAGTCAAAGCTAATCTAAATTCTATAAAAGATATAAAAAATTTAAAATTAATAAAAAAAAGAATAAATGAATTTGAAGATTCTAATAATTATCTATATCAAATAAAATATTATAAAAATATAGAACATAACATAGTAGAGGCTGATAATAAAATAAAAGAAATTAAACTAAAATTAGAAGATTTAGAAGAGTTAGAAAAAAGATTAAAAGCAATAAAATTAGATGATGATATAAAACTAGTAGAAGAAGCAGGATTAGAATTAAGAAGATTGAAAAGAAGGTATAGCGAATAAAAAATAATTTACAAGAAAAATATTTTTTTTGAAATGAGTTAAATAATTTTCTTGTGTAAATAAAAAAGATGTCATATGTAGGTATTGAAAATTTTGATGAAGCAAATTTATATGTAAAAGAAATAATTAAATTTAATAAACCTGTTCCACATCAAAAAATAGTTATTGGCTACAACTATTTAAATTGTTCAGAGGCTTTAAGAGTAAAAACTCCAAAAATGTTTTCATATGGAATTAATGAAAATAGAGATCTAAAAACAAAAGAACTTACAGGATATTCGATCCCTTTTGTATGTGAAAATGATATATTTATCACAATTATTGAAGCTATTGAAAAATTTTGTAGAGATAAAGTTACTGAAAATGAATCAATGTTAAAAAAGGGTGGTATGAAAAGCCTTAATAAACAAAACTTGAATATTTTAAAGTACAAAGATGATGACCTCTAAAGAACATACAATTCTATATGCAAAAATACCTATAGATTTTAAAAGTAAGAAGATGGATCAAGTATTCAGGAAAAAAAATGACGGTGATATTTTAGGAGAAAGTCTTATTAAAAAAAGATGTGACGTTGTTGGATGCTTAGCAATTGAAGGTGTATATATCGGATCAATGATTCAATCTATTCAAGTAAAATTATTAGATGCAGTTGTATATAAAAAAGAGTATAAGATAGAAAGAATAAGGTTTTATATTAAAGATGATGATTTAGAAAGCGAAGATAAAGAGTAAATATTTTTTATATTATTAAATAATATAAAAAAATGAGATAAATAAAATAATATATAATATAAAAAATGTATATTGAAATTGAAAAAGATAAACAAAATCCAGTTATAATTAAATTTTATGATATTATTAAACTTGATGAAAATAAAGAATATGAAATGGCTCTTGATAGATTTCAAACTATTCTATATAGTAGTTTAAATAAAAACAAAAAAGTATATATATTAAATAATCTTGTAGATGGAAAAATTGTATTTAATAATGGCAATGCTAAGAAAACGACTGCAATGTATTCATTTATGCCTATTATTGTTTCTAAAAATTCAGTTATTAATGAACAACCATTATCTAAAAAATATTTTTCGTTAAAAACAAACTCAATTTCAGAAATGAAAATTGACATCATTGATAACTTAAATAAACCAATAGATTTTAATAATGAAAGCTTTATCATAGAATTTCATATAAGAGAGAGAAAAAAGTAAGTTCTTTTAGAAATAATATAAATTTTTTAATTAAATGAATCAAAAAATTATTACATATATAAAAATGTCAAAAACAATACATATAACTTCAAACGATACAATTGGAACTGTAAAATTAGTATTTATAACAAATGTTATAAATACTAATTTTACAGTTCCTATTGAACTAGATGAAAATAAAGAGTATGGAATAGCTCTAAAAAAATTAATGACTTATAATAGTTTTCCAAATATTATTGAAGGAGTAAACAATACTATAAATATTACTATAGAAGCTAGTGATAATCCTATTTTTCAACAAATTAAGATCCCAACAGGAGCATATGAACATGTAGATATAAATAGATATGTGAGTAATTATGTAATGACTACTCTTACAGATCAACTTGCTAATTATAAAGCGCTTTATAAAAATGCTACAACAACAGAAGGTTTAGCTGCAAAAGCTATATATGATGGTATAATACTTAATCGAACATCTATTATATTTGAAGCAAATTTTAATACTGAAAAATCACAGATCCTTATTAATAGAAGTAGCAATATCAGAATACAATTTGATGACGACTCAATAAAAGATCGTTTAGGTTTTAATAATAGAGATAAAGATGGCAAACTTATAACATTTGATTCATCAAAAGTACATATTTCAGATAAAATAATTGATATAAATCATGTTAATGTTATTTGTATAACAAATAGCCATGTAACAGGATCATTTATAGATGGTGAATCTGCAAATGTTATATATTCATTTTTTCCAGCTGCAAAAATTGGTTATAAAATTGTAGAAGTACCAAATAATCCAACTTATTATAGATTATTATCAAAAAAAATTTGGAATATGAAAACAACCGTAGTTGATCAAGATGGGCATATACTTAATTTACAAGGAGAGTCAATAAGTATTGAATATGAAATAAAAGAAATTGCGTCAAAAGTAAATTAGAGCATCTTTTAGAAAAACAAGTATCTCTTTTAGAAGAACAAAATGAACTTTTAAAAAAACAATTAAGAAGATAGCATTGATAATTAAATGAATTAACTAAAAATATTACATATATAAAATGTTAGATATAAATAAAAAAACATATACACACAAGTATGTAGTAGGTGGAAGTGGAGTATTTACAGATACAAATAATATGTATAATCAAGGAAAATCTTCTGATTTTTTTAGAGCATTATCTGGTATGAAAACAATGTTAATTAATCATTTTAATAAAAATGGACCAATAATGAAATAGTTTAGCGTAGCCAGGATCGCAAAAGCGATCTAAGCTTTAAAGGGACTCAGATTCATGCTAATGAATTAAAAAAATATATACAGTAAATAAAAATGTTAGTTATAAATAATAAAGGATATACACACAGGTATGAAGTAGGTGGAAGTGGATTATTTACACCTTTTATAAATATGATTAATAAGCAAGCATTAAATAATGTACTAAAATCATCTCGTGTTATAGCTAGTAGAGCAGCTGCTACAGATTTAGGAAAAACTGCTGTAGATGCAGCCAAGTCTGCAATAAAAGAACTTGCAACTTCTGCAATATCTACTGCTAAAGAAAATGTAATAAATAAAGGTAAAAAACTGATAGAAAATGTAAATAAATTGTCAAAGATGACACCTGAAAATAAACAAGAACTTAAAAATTTAATAAATTCAGTAAATGAAGTAGTACCAGACATTAATAAAATTATGATGGGATCATCAATAAAAAGTAAACCTGTTAGAATACAAGATTTAGTTAAAAAACATAAAGGTGATGGACTTAGAATAATATAATTTTATCAAAATAGTTAGATTTCATTAAAATGATTTAAAAAAATTATATTGCATATATAAAAATGGTAAAATCTAATATATTTAATAATACTGACAAATTAAGATTTGATGAAGAAATCAAAAAATATGAAGAATATGAATTTACACCATCTGTTAATTCTAATTTAAATTCAGGAGAAATAAGAATTTATGTTGAAAATGGTGATTCTTTGTTTCATCCACATGAATCATATTTAGAAATTAAAGGAAGACTTGTAAAAGCAGATGGAAGTGCATATGCAAATGCAGATGCAGTAACACTAACTCACAATGGACTTATGCAGTTATTTGATAGAATTGAATATAAGTTCTATGATTCAGTAGTTGAATCAGTTAATTTTCCAGGTAAAGCAACTACAATGCTTGGAATGTTGAAATATCCAAATGACTTTCAACAATAAAACGCAATGAATCAATTGTGGTTTAAAGATACTACATCAACTGCAGATTTAGTTAATAATGCATGATTTTCAGCAAGGCAGCAGTATATCATTCGAAAACCAACTACAAAAGGTTCATTTGAAATTTTTATTCCAATAAGACATATTTTTGGATTTTGTGATGACTATGATAAAGTTTTTTATGGATTAAAGCATGAACTTTTTCTGTTAAGAGCAAGTGATGATAATGCAATTTTTAGAGCTGCTGGTGTAGCTGCAGGAAAAGTAAATATTACTAGAATATCATTAATGATGAGACGTGCTGTAGCAGATTTAGAACTTACTAAAATAATTAAATCACAAGAAGCACTTGATCTAGGTTTTAGATTGAGGTACTTAGACAAAATGAATGTTCCACAAAATACATCATTTGACTGGAGATTTGGAGTAAGAACTACTGAAAAACCGAGATATATACTTGTTGGTTTTCAAACGAATAGAGAAGGAAATCAAGTACAAAATGCTTCATTATTTGATCATTGTGATTTAAAAAATATGTGGATTGAACTTAATGAAGAAAGATATCCTGCTACTAATTATAATTTATCATTTCCAAATATGAAAATTACTAGAGCTTATAGACATGCATCAAATTTTGCTGAAGATTATTATAATATGACAAATCTTATTAGTCTATGTGGTATAACTCCTTCAGACTATAGAGATTTATATCCTATTATGTATTTTAATGTAAGTAAACAATCAGAAAGAATGAAAGATTCAATAGTAGATATTAGACTTTAGCAGAATTTAATACACCTGTTCCAGCAGGTACTATAATATTTGCTCTCATCATTTCAGTTAGAATAGCAAAACTGTCTTCTAATGGAGATAGATTAAGATTTGAATATTAGTAATTTTATTTAAAAAAAAATCAATTATAAAAATGTGATTTTTTTATAGAAAATTCTATAAAAAACATGTATTACAAACTTAGCAATAAATTGAAAGAGATGCTAAAAGAGGTTGATGAAATTGAAAAGATTTAAAAAATATAAACAAGAAAAAAAATACTATTATTTAAATTATTTTGAAAGTAATTTAAATAAATTTTCTTTATATAATAAAAATGAGTGACAAAATAAAATATGCAAAAAAGTATTTATTAAAATTACTAAAAGAAAATAATGTACAACAAACATCTAAAGATCCTATGGCGTTAGTTACGAATGCTATGGATAATAATTTAATTGATAAAGAATCTGTACAATCAAATATCATTACTAAAAAAGAAAAAGTTAAAAAAGTAAAAATTAAAAAAGAAAAAATTAAAAAAGAAAAAGTTAAAAAAGAAAAAGTTAAAAAACCTAAAAAAGAAAAACCAATAAAAGAGAAAAAGCGTGCAGGAAGACAAAGAATTCATCCTATAAAAGAAAAAAAGAAAGAGATCCTAAATATGATAGGCTTGTAACAATTAGAACAAATCCAACAACTCTAAAACTAACTAATGTAGAAACTGGAGAAGTTAAAACATACAATTCTAAATACTGAAAAGAAAAACATGGACATTTATATTTAGAAAAGTATAATGGAAAAGTTAAAAATAGTGTATTAATAGAATTAATAAGAACTGGATCTGAAGGAATTAAATTAGAATGTCCTGAAATTATTCAAGCAGATAAAAAGAAGATTTATAACTTTTTTTAAATTATTTTTATAGATAGTCTATAAAAATATAAAAAAGAAATTTATTTAAATAATTTTTTAATTTTTTTTAAATATTTTTTAAAATTTTTTGTACAAGAAAATTAAAAAATTGAAAATGACATAAATAAAAAAATCTTGTATATAAAATATGGAAAATATAAGATTATCAGAATTGAAAAAAATCGCTTAAGAAAATCAAATATTATTATAGAATGAGAAAAGCAGATCTTATTAGAGCAGTTTTTTTTTTTTTTTTTAAGTTTAATTCACCTCCTCAAGGCCGAGAAGGCCACTACAGACGAGGAGGCTACTTATTTGTGGCTATAACCCTCTCTCAACTCTATAACTCCGAAACACGAACCTTGACAAACAAGGCCGCTGCGCAAAGAAACGAGTTGAGCGCGGTACTACCAGGGACGTGGAAGATCAATATAAAGCAATAAAAGATCAAGTTGAGCAAGCAACGCCTATATTAGATAGACCTATCCCAAGCAACATTACACAAAGTACTTTAACACCTACACAATATGTCCCAAGTAAGTATATAAAAATAATTAATAATAAAGTACAATCATTTGCTAATTGGATTATGGACTATGTTCCTGAGTCTATTAAAAATACAGCTAATGGAAAGCTTACATCAATAAAATCTACAGTTTCTAATTTGTATAAAAAATTTGGACTTAGAAAACAAATAGAATTCAAATTGACACAATCAGCAGTTAAAAATGTAACAAGGCAATTTTCAGCTCAAGGTGTTGTAGGATATGATGCTTTGTCCTTTATGACTTAGCTAAAAATAATGTAATTGATATACTCAAAAGCAATAAAAGATCAAAAATTAATATTGATCTTTTATGTGAAATGGAGAGTACTGATATTATAATAGGAGAAACTATAAAAGGTATTCCAACTTTTAAATCTTTATCAGAAGTTGTTTTAGAATCAACAGATTTAAATGACTTTTATGAAAGGGCTAAAGAAAAAATTTTAGAATCTATGGCTACATTTCAACGAACAAAATCAAATTGGAGATTTGTATCAGTTGTAGAGATGAATATAAATATCATTGAATATGAGCCTATTAAAGGTAAATCTTACATTCCTCTTCCTAAAGAGTTGGCAGCTAAAAAAGCAATTATTAATATGAAGAATGAAGACAACGAATGCTTTAAGTGGTGTGTTGTCAGATTTTTTAATATAAAAGATAAAAGTTTTGAAAGAGTAGAAAAAATCTAAAAGAACAAGCTGAGACATTAAATTGGGAAACAATAAAATTCCCAGTGTCACTACAACAGATTACTCAATTTGAGAAAAATAATCAAGACATAAGTGTAAATGTTTTTGGTTATGAAAGTTCAGTTTATCCTTTAAGAATATCAAATGAGAAAAATAGACAACATAAAATAGATTTATTACTCATTTCAAATGATGAAACTACTACGAATGGATCCTTTGGATCTACTCATTATTGTTTAATAAAAAGTTTAAGTAGATTACTTTCATCACAAATATCTAAAAATGAACAAGAAATGTTTTATTGTAGAAATTGCTTGTTAGGATTTAGTACTGAAGAATCTTTATCAAAGCATAAATTGTATTGTGAGAACTTCCAAAACCAAATACAATGATTGGGTTTAAAAATTATAACAAGTCTATGAGAGTGCCCTTTGTAGTCTATGCAGACTTTGAAAGTTTTATAAAACCAATCAACATTTGCTCACCTAATCCAAATGAATTTTATACAAAGCAATACCAAAAGCATACACCAAGTTCATTTTGCTACTATATTAAATGCTTTGATGAAAAAATATATCAAAGTAAACTATTTACATTCACTGCAAGTAATGAAGATGAAGATGTAGCATAAAAATTTGTTTATATGTTAGAAGCAGATATAAAGAAGATTTACAACGATTATTTAAAATTCCCAAAAAAGATGATATTTACTAGTAAAGACAAAGAAAAATTTGATAATACAAAAATGTCACATTTGTGAAAAAGATCTTAATGAAAATAGAGTAAAAGATCATTGTCATATTATTGGAAAATATGGAGGTGCTGCACATAATGAGTGTAATTTATAATTTAAAAATCCAAAATTCATTCCAGTACTATTTCACAAATTATCTGGTTATGACTCTTACTTGTTCATAAAGAAATTATCAGGAAATGGAAAATCAGAAGAAAAAATAAATTGTATACCTAACAACGAGGAAAAGTATATCAGCTTTTCTAAAGAACTTTAAGTAAATGAATTTACTAATAAAGAAGGTAAAAAAGTTGAAGTTAAATTACAACTACGTTTTCTTGATAGTTTTAAATTCATGGCTGCTAGTTTAGATAGTTTAACTAAAAATCTAAAAAAAGATCAATGTAAGAATGTTAGTAGATACTATTCTGGAAATGAACTCAATTTATTGTTAAGAAAAGGTGTTTATCCTTATGAATGGGTTAATTCTATTGATAAATTGAATGAAACACAATTACCGCCTAAATAATCATTTTATTCAAGATTAAATGATGAAGGTATTAGCGATGATGATTACTCACATGCTCAAACTGTATGGAAAGAGTTTAATTGTGAAACATTTAAAGATTATCATAATTTATACAATGTTTCAGATGTGTTATTGTTAGCTGATGTATTTGAAAATTTTAGAGATGTCTGTTTTAACGATTACAAATTAGATCCTGCTTGGTACTATACCGCACCAGGATTAGCTTGGGATGCAGCATTGAAAGAAACAAAAGTAAAACTAGAGTTACTAAGTGATTATGACATGATTCTTATGATAAAGCAAGGAATAAGAGGTGGAATTAGTATGGTTCCTAACAGGTTAGGAACTGCTAATAATAAATACATGGAAACCTATAATGAAAGTAAAGAGTCTACCTTTATACAATATTTAGATGCTAATAATTTATATGGATGGGCAATGAGCAAACCACTTCCAACACATGGATTTGAGTGGATGAATGAAAAAGAAATAGAAAATTGGAAATCCATTTCATGTATATTAGAAGTAGATTTAGAATATCATGAACATTTACATGATTTGCATAATGATTATCCACTTGCTCCTGAAAGATTAAAAATAGATGAAGTTGAAAAATTAGTACCTAATCTAAATCATAAGAAAAATTATATCATATTTAATTGTGTAAAATTGTATCATATTTAATTATATAAAATTGTATGAAAGATTAGGAATGAAATTAAATAAAATTCATAGAGGAATAAAGTTTGAACAAAGTGCATGGCTAAGTAAGTACATTAATCTCAATACAGATCTAAGAACAAAAGCTTCTAATGAGTTTGAAAAAGACTTTTTTAAACTCATGAATAATTCAGTATTTGGAAAGACAATGGAAAACATCGAAAACAGAGTTGATGTAAGATTAATCGCTAAAAGAGAAGAAGCTATAAAATTAGCATTAAAACTTAACTATAAAAGTAGAACGATATTTGATGAAAATTTGATAGCTATTCATATGAAAAGACGAAACTAGTTTATAACAAACCCATTTACTTGGGTATGTGTATTTTAGATTTAAGCAAAACATTAATGTATGAATTTCATTATGATTACATTAAAAGTAAATATGAAGATAGAGCTAAACTGTTATATACAGATACAGATTCATTTATTTATGAAATAAAAACAAAAGACTTTTATGCAGATATTTCAAATGACAATGAAAGTAAATTTGATACAAGTGAATTTGATAAAAATCATCCAGCTTCAAAATAGATGAAGAAGATAAAAAAATATGTAAGGGAGTAAAGAAAAACGTAGTTAAAAATTATATAACTCATGAAGATTATAAAGATTGCCTTATGAATAGAAAAGATCAGATGAGAAAAATGAATGTCATAAGATCTCATTTACATGATGTTTATACTGAAGAAATAAACAAAATAGCACATAGTGCAGAAGATGATAAAAGAGTTATTTTAGAAGATGGTATACACACATTAGCGTATGGTCATTATAAATTAGTTCCTATGGATCCAAAGGATCTAGCAGAGCATGGGTCCCTTCAGGATCTAGAAGAGAAACCTAACTTTTCATTTCAGATTGATTGAAATCAAA